TGGTTCGAATCCAGTCAGATAGAAAGATTTTTTAAGCGACACGCCTGCCCTTAATAGTTTCAGTGCCACGAAGAGTTTAAAATCGCAATATCTCAGGGACTGCACACGACAATGTACTGCACCTGTCACTCTGAGACAAAGCAGTAAGTTGACAAGCCTTTTCAATTTCACCAGAAGTGTAAATGGTAATACTGAGCTGGAAAGAGAGAACATCAATGTGACAGACTTTCGCCTCCCACGTTTGCAGCATAAAAAAGTTTGTGATCGAAATCAGGTGGAAGAAAACATGGCGGAACTGTCTGATAACCCCGAGATCTGTAACTAGGGTTGACACACCCTAGTTTGCCAATTTTAAATCATCTCAGTCGTCTGTCGATAGTGTCAATGGCATGATTTTGTACATTTGGTATTCTGCTAGAAGTGGCTTCTCAATGGCTCGCCATCGCTACGTTTTTGGAATTCTGCTCTTCAATGGCATTTCGATAGCGTAATCTACTAAGTATATGACATAAAAATACATTTAAATTGAAGGCTCTGAGAAATGGTCATTTACTATGGGCCTCATAAAATAGCTCTAAGGGTCGTATTCTAGAACCCTACTCAATGCTCAAGTCAGGATTTGAGTACGGTTTAAAGCACTCGAAATCATACTCAAGTCCCTGCCATTAGGGTCGTATTTCCAGTGCTTGTGTTTCAATTGCAATCCTGACTTGAGCATTGAGTAGAGTTCTAGAATACGACCCTAAGTCACTCGATCAATGTTGCCTTATTAAAACTACCATGGAAATACAATTCTTATATTAATTTTTATCTCGTTTCAACAACAATTCAATCTTCAAATAAAACGTATTTATTTTCATTATGTGAAATAATAAGTAGACTCCGCATTAGACGTGTCAAAGACTCACCATTGAAGAGCAGAATACCAAAAAATCGCAATGGCAGTTGAATAGTTGGCTAGCATCGAGTATATAACCAGAAATAGAGACGAAATGTCATTTGTTTGAAAATTATTCTGCCAAATCATTACGATGACAACTGCGCTCCGATTGGCCAGCCCGAATTCGAAACAATTGGCGGGTGTCGCTAATCTGATCTTTATTACAATAAATGCAGAATATTTTTGCAGTATACGTAGAAGTACACACAGGTCAGTTGTTGTTGTACTATTTCAGCTTTCTAATTTGTGATTTCAGTGCAAACGAGTTGATATTTAAAAGCGACATAAGGCCCATTTGCCGATGAGTTGCCACGTTGCCAGGGATGGATAGCTCTTATGTTGTCTCTATTTCTGGTTAGATACTCGATGCATTTACTATATTTCAAACGTCTTACGATTGTCACCACCACGGATTTTTGTCATTCAAGTATGCAGAAGCTGCATAATAATAATGTTTGTGTGTTCACTGTAGTTTTAAACCTCGTAAATGGCGATCGAATCTTATTAAAGCACAAAGTTACTAAAATGCAAACAATGGATTGTGTATACAAATTCTGCAGGACGATTTCACATCATATTTTCTTCATATTCGCACACTGGCTTTTACTTATTCTTAAAGTAACGTATCCAATTTAACACCCTTGATAATTTTGCCTGATGAATAGCCAGGGATGGATGACCCTTATTTCGTCACTATTTCTGGTTATATACTCGATGTTGGCTATCCACTCACAAGACACTTCTCTTAACTTTTAGCAGAATACCAAACGGAGAAAATCCTGCATTTAGCACTCTGTCGACCACTGAGATGATTTAGCATGAGCAGATTTGGGGTCCTGGAAGCTTGGACACAAACTGCCATCAGAAACTTTCAGCAAGGAAGATGACGTGTAATCACAAACTTTTATTAATTCTAAAATTAACGTCATAAATTTTGACTCCGATAAAAAAAAATCCGAATGTATTTATAAGTTTTTCACTTAATTCATACTAAAGATTACCAAGTTAGTGTTGAACCTTGAAGTGGTGGCGCTAATATCGATATTTGACACTTATTTTCGTGTTGTTAATAGTAGAAAATAGTTCTTAAAAGTTCCGCAACATGGCCAGGGTTCAGGTTTAACTTGACAATCTCCAAAAATCTATACAAAAAAGAATTCTATAATGCTACAATGTGCAGTGCATATTTTGAACCATTTATTTTAATATACCAAATTCTCCACTGTGGACCTTAAAATACTAGCACATAGAGTTTACTTTGGACTACTTAAACTTATTCATATCAGTGTTTTGTTTATTTGTATTGTCCAATATATTACAAAAACAGAGGGCTTATGAGGTATTTCTACATGCTAGTATTTTAAAAAAATATCTTTTTCTTTTAACAATTTGTGGTCAACACGTAATAAGGTCCTTATTTTTGATATTTTGACTCGATATAGCAATACATATGTATAATATACAATTGGAACTCCTATTTATTATTTATTTACCTAATTTTCTTTCATAAATCACAATGGGTAACCAGACAACGCAATATGAAAGTCTAAGAGATTGTTTTTTGTCTTGGAAAAAAGGTTTACATTAAAAAAAATTTTTTTTGGTGGATCGCCTGAATTTTCAAACTTTCGAAAACGCCCATATCTAAAAACGATTTAACGACATTGGAATTTCGCAGTACATTTAATATCACAACTTTTTGGATCCACCACTTTGTTTTTGTGTCCGCCTAAATAAAAAATAAATATATGACTAACACAACGGAGTGGACGCATGACTAAATTATAAATTAAATACGCTGATAAATCTTTTTGTTTAGTTTGAAGCGTGGTGTCGCACGGCTACATGCGCGTGCGCAACTGGTGAACTACAAAATAAGGGTCTAGAAAACGCCTGCGAGGGTAGGCAACGGTTAAATGCCACAACAAACTCGGTGTTATAATAATTCATGAAACAAAATCGCTGCTTTTCAAGAATAGTGGCTCATGCCAAAATAGTCCATATTAATATTAGAACACAGTTGCATTCAGAATGTGCAAAATTATATTGTGGAAAAGTCATTTAGCTGTTTATTGGTTAAAACAAACAAGTGACCACATATACCGGTGTATGATTCGTCAGCTTTGGACCTTTAGGTATACTTCATTTTCGATTTTGAGATAGGCCACTACTCTAGAAAGCCATGGAAATCACCTTTAATACAATAATTTTTTACGTCAAAACATTATCAACAATGTCATTAAATGCCATAATTAATAAATCAACAAAAAAAAACAATAAAACATAATTGTTACACTAAATTACATAAAACAATTTACGAATTTGGCAACTTTTATACATAATCTAATAGGGAAGATAAGAAATTCAGTTCAAAATAATGAGCTAGTCATATACAACAATAACCGACATGCGTCAGTGCCGCACTTACGCTGAGTGTATTTTATATGAGATACCATTCGCACATACGTCGCATTGTTGGCCACGGGTGTAGTCTGAGAAAAAGTTTACGTCATTATCCCGTACTTGTCCAATACTAGACAGCAGTTGTAAGAATCATCTTTAATGGTTAACCAATTGTTAGTAAGCCGCACATTATAACGCTGGGAACAGAATTCAAAACTCTTAAACAGGAGCACAGTGTCTCCCTAAGCGATTTAATTCTTTGAATTATGGGCTTGGTACAGATGCATATGACTTAAATACGGGTCAGTTCCAATAATGCACAACTGGAAGCAGATATCTAGCCACGGTAAAAATAATTTCAATGACGACAACCCTTCCCGCACCCCGCAGGACCCCCTCAAAGACCCACCACGCACATTCATTCCATCCTATCTATATCTTACTCATATATTTACATATTCGAGCACTACCTCGTATGTACAAGTTACACTTAAGACTAATGTAAGGACACTTGGAACTGAGAATGGAACCTTTGGTCGGGCGTCCACACACCGAGAACGCAAGGTACTTGTTATTTTACACTAAATTTTGGATGTCATTTTACACTAAATTTTGAATGCTATTTTACGCTCAATTTTGGATGTTATTTCACACTAAATTTTGAATGTTATTTTATACTACATTTTGGAGGTTATTTTGCAGTATATTTTGGATGTTATTTTACACAAAATTTTGGATGTCGCTTTTCTTCACTGTATATTTAAGTGAAGGTATTTGTTTGTTTGCTTGTTTGACTGCCCAGTCAAGACAAGATATCATGTTTATCCAACCATTGAAGAAATATTTTTATATTGTCGCCCTTTACAAAGGAAAATTTTAAATTACTTAGACATGAGAACATTGAACTCTGAATCAGGCTACGTAAATTACTTTTTCACCACACCTGCTCATAAACAGTGTCGTGGCATGCAGGCAAAGTCGACCGCAATGTTCTAAATTCTGTGGCTCTAGTGAAAAGTGGTGCCTGTCAAAAATGCCAACTTTACAAGGAAACACGAATAACACTTAACACTGAATAGCCATTGACTTACAATTATATGGACGTCGGGTCCGCGCTAAAAAGAAAAAGTGTCCGAACTTATAGGGCGTTAAAATCGTATACAGAGCGTCATTCACGCTTTAGTCTTCATTTGTTCGACTGACAGCGAAGCAAGCAAAATTAGACAGTACTGCGATGACATTACAATTTAAATTCAACGTTTTAGCTTTTTCATGTTCCTTTACATGTTACTACGTTTAAATGACTTGGGACATTTTTTTCGTGGTTTTTGTATTAGACCCGTCGTCCATTTATTTGTAAGTCAATGTGAATAGCATATTAAGTTGCAACTGTTTTTCGCGTCGCCTTGTAAAGTTGGCTTTTTTGACCTATGCCCTTTTTCACTAGAGCCACAGAATTATGCCCACGGGCTTTTTCATTATATTATCGCCCTATGAATTGTTACGTCAAGATTAATCAAAAAGGTTTTTATGCTCTAAAAATCTGAATGTATATAATTTCGCTTATATACTAGAAGTATAAAAAAAACTTAACATTTGCAACTACGTTTTACTAAATTTATTTTGTGAATTCAAATTTTGCAGTATTTTTAGAATTTGAAAATTATTTCTGTGGCTCTAGTAAAAAGAGGTGAAAGTCAAAAAGCCAACTTCACAATGAAATGCGAAAAACACTTAACGCTTAATATCATATCTGCTTTTCGCATCTCCTTGTAAATTTGGCTTTTATGACTTGTAGCCCTTTTTCACTAGAACCACAGATATATTTTACATCTAATACATTGTGGCTGCATGCGTCTGAGCCTTTTATAACATTTTAGTGCGAGTTGTATTATTAAGGGAAGAATAGTCAGTAATCTGTTTAAAAAAAATCCGTATAAAATCCATTTCAGTAAAGTAGCACGGGCAGTAAAAATTACAAACCTGAGTTATTAGCCTTCAGCCTTCGGTTTCGGGCTTTTAACAAACTCTCGATAGTAATTTCTTATTTACCGCATCAACATTTTCATTCGCCTTTAAAGATATGATATGTCTAGCAGTAGATAGGGTGATGTAGGAATAGCAATGATGCCTTGGCGTCACTAGTAGGGGAACAATGGGGGTACGCAAAATTTGTTTCCACAGCGAACTTTTCAAATAATTTTTCAACTATGCTCAAAATGTACACCATCAAAATGATAATTATTGTGTAACTTCATCCAAAACGTATAAAATGACAGTAACTTGCTTACAACGAAGGCTGAATCAATATGGAGATGCTCGTTTTCCAAACTTAGGTGTTTCTTCTGGTCCATACTTGCCATCATTTTGATATATCGAATTTGCATTTAACTACTAACGCGTATCATACTATTTAGTATGTACGTATCAAATGGTCGCGTATCATTTTGTATTTTGGAAATACCGAAAAGATTCAAGTGTGGACCCGGTACACTTAAGCGCTGACTGCACAGTAAACTCGGATACAATCATTGTACAAAAAAACAGTATCACTAACCGTCAACAACAGGTCTGCAGATGAACGTAGCACAAGTACACAAGCACATCTCTTCAGCACTTCCATTAATTTGGCACTTCAACACTGACTTAGCACGAAAGAGTATCACAGAGTCACGTCAGTCAATCACCACATACGGCAGCGCAATTAGATCGCCTAATTTCGCACACTCATGCCACTCTGTGAAGTTCGGAGGCCGTGGCGGTCTACCAAGCTCATCCACCGTCCGGTCTGACTCCATATCGTTGAGAGCCTGCACCAAGACTTCCTCCCCTTCGTTAACGTCCACTGGCAGAGTGACAACTGGAGCGGGATCCGTCTGCTCATATGTATATGGAACTGTTTCCAGTGCTCTCTGGAATAAGGCATATAGCGTTCTCCCATCTATGTCCTCTTTCGTTCTTTCAACGGTCCTGTGGTCCTCCTCTTCGCTCATAACTGCTTCAACAACGTTCATCTTAACTGGTACCTCACAGGCACCAAAGTTTTTAACATCCTCGTTGGACAGTAATGGTGCTTTCAACCGCTCGCTCGGTTCTAAACTAGGAACAGACGGAGTCTCCGCTTTAATTGAACACTTGTACTCATAGACTTCAGGCTTCTCTTCAGTTTTTATTGATTCCTCAACTTCCTCGTCTTCTATGTCTAATTCAGGTTTTGCTTCTGGAGAGTCAACAGGGTAAGGGCGTATAGGGGGTGGGGAAGGTGGAGGTGGAGGTTCTGGAGGGGGCGGAGCGAACTGCGTCCAAGGCAGATTCTCGCAAAGGGGAACTCGTGACATGTTTTTGACGCAATAATCATCCGCGTAGTCAGAGTACTTGTACAGAGGAACAATGCTGGTGAAGAGATCAGTGTTGTCAGGGTCCATTGGTTTTCTGACCGCGAATTGGTGAGGATGAGTGGGAGCTCTCGTGCCGTTGATGCCGGGCAGGTACGCGTGATGCAGTGCATGGACGTGGTACGGCCTGACGTCGGTAATCTTCGCCGCTGGACAACTGTCCTCGGCCTCGTCCTCCCCGCAGGTGCATTCGAAGTATTCCCTCTCGTCCTCTAAGGAAGGGAGGGGTACGGGAGTGGGGAGGCGTGGAGGAGAAGGTGGTCGCTCGGTGCTGCCGTTACGGAGCGGTGAATCCAATTTTATTGGATACACCACTGAAAATGAAATACAGGATAGATGAGAAAATACAAATCATGACAAATGTACATACATAAGTCTTACTTCACAAAAACTACACTTAGGACAATTATAAACGGAGCTCTCCCCGTCAAAATTGTTATATGAAAGGGAAGCCTGAGTTGTCATTTTTTACAGATCGTTGGTCCAGCCTGAAAGAATCAACCTGTAAGCAACTTACAGTTCAAGGTCACAACTTCCCTTCGTTCCCAACGGACCAGACTTGAGTTCGGCTACAACCGCATCTGTGCGTCTGCGCTAGGTAACTTGCTTGAATTGGTAAAAAAATATGCAACATTCAATTAAATACTAAATATATAAGACAACCAGATCAGTACCAACTTAGAAAAGTTCGTTTCCCAAATTATTCCCACCAGGAATCGAAGCCGGGACCTCTTCACCCAGCGCTCATAGTGTAAACGTTGGACAACTGAAGTAGTTAAAAGAAAGCTCTATCATATGTTGGACTCCTGTATTATTTCAATATACTGTACCTACCTAATTTATGTAAAACTGCGTTTAACCTAATTGCAATATACTTCGCGGAATGGGGACCCGGTGACCTGTATTACAGGCATTTTTATGCTTATCTCTCAGGCCCCATAACCTCGTTCTCCGTCCGAAACAATTGTTTATTTACATCGCATAATTCCTCGCCTGGCCCCTTTTTCACCTTTTCTCCATCTTTCAAATCCCGTTTCCAATATCTGTGGCTATAATGAAAAAGTCCAAAAAGCCAACTCTACAAGGCGACGCGAAAAAAATCACAACATCAACAGCTTAATATGATATCGAGTTCTTAGGTTTTCGCGATTGTTAACACATAGGAAATGAAACTATTTTTCCGGATTTAAATCGCGTATATTTGTTTTTTCAAACAAACCGACGTTTCAGGCCCTTTACAGGTCCCATGGTCACGGTTAACCGTGACCAATATACGCGATTTAAATCCGGAAAAATAGTTTCATTTCCTAAGCTTAATATGATATTCAGCGTTAAGTGGTATTCGTGTTTCCTTGTAAAGTTGACTTTTTTGACATGTACCACTTTTCACTAGAGCCATAGAAATTATAAAAGTTTCGACGTTTTAAAAACAAGTTAATCAAAACACTTTGCTAGTGGCTAAAACGCAAGAGATAAAAGAAGTAATACCCGACCGAATTAAAACACGCATATATGATGCGAATGAAGCTTCATGCTTGACATTGTTTTTTCACTTATCGAGTATTATTTATTTGAAAGTAAATGTTTCTGACGGATGTTGGACGGAGAACGAAAGTAGAACCCCAGGTACCAGTCTCTCTCAAATAAGGTTTAATGTTAAATATCATTAGTCAGTAATGACCACCACCTGTGAAGACGCCTGAGTCTTTTTATAGATTCAAACTAAAGTGCAAGGATTGGTTTACTTTGCAACAGAAGGCGTAATGTTCCTGGTCGGTTGTGGAATAGTAATCCGTATAGTCTGATAGCGGTCATTTGTACCCTTTGTCGTCCTGGGGGCCTACCACAACCTCTTAAAACAATATTACTTTAACCTTACATTGACTTTTCGTACCATAATGCGCTTAAAGTAAGCTTATTGTAATGTTAAAACTATGATGTTTTATTGACAGCTTTATGACTATTCATTCACTCAGTTCGTACTATGACGTGACTTTAACATTACTTATTAAAAGTTTTCAATATTTTGTATATTTTTTATTTTATACCACGAATAGTAATTCGTGTAAATAGTTAATAAGTTTATATTATTTTATATGTATGTTAGTTTGTAAGGTATGTATCAATAATAATAATATGTATGTTAGTCTGTAAGGTATTTGTTATATGGGCCTTAGTTGCCTGAAATAAATGAATAAATAAATAAATAAATAAAAATAAAATAGGAAATAATTTTTCGTTAAATAAAAATACGCGAAGTTTATTTCGTAAAAATATGACAGCGCTATCTATATGCTCCTTGGTGAAGGTGACAGTTGACACTAGACTGTAAGTCCGAACATGACTATCAAGACTCAGCATGTTTTATTTATTTTTCTTCATGAAAATGCGGAAAAACTATTGAAAACAACGTAATTTTAATAGATTTTATTATTACATAGTTTTCTTTTCTTAACAGTCAAAATTCTCTGAATGTAAATAACATGAAGTACTTAAACATTATACTACGATAGGGTGATTCGGAACATCAAAAACGAAAGAGACGGCATTATATAGTTCACATAGCGTTATCTCTTTCCCATTTGTGTAAGGAATAGACAATATTGGGAAGTCATTCGTTCTTTCAATCACTTCAGCAATAATACATTACTTGGTTGACAGGTTTGTCTTGGTACGAATATGAGTAATATTATAATAAGCTCACTTTAAGCTTACATGGAAACAAGATTGGTTTTGGAAAGGTTATGGTGGTAGGCCACCTGATTAAACTTGTTTGTTTTTGCTTGATACGTGATTATTATCACTTGTAACCAGTAAATAAATAGTTAGATATTAGTTAGATTAATGATGTTTGTTTCGTTGTAGTCCTTTTGTACAAATTATGTTCCGACAATATCCGACAGAGAACACAGGCGGAGATTGAAAAACAGCACTATGCTGAGGCTTCGTTTCTTTTATCACTCATAGCTCTTAATTTATTAGTACATAATGTCGTGTGATGTTGTATGTATATGTGTGGGTGTGTTTGATTAATATAGTCTTATTTAATTTTAATTTATGCAACATAATTACCTTGCATGTTGACAGAAAACAAATAAATAATTATTATTATTATCAGATCCCTATTAAAAAGTCAAATGTTGATATTTCTTTACAAATAGCCAATATGTCTATATATACCTTTGCAACAAAAGTAAAATTGTCCAAACTACTGTATTAATTTCGTCCTTCGAGTATAAATGCTCCTTCACAAATTGTTCACTCATTTCAAAGCGTGAAACACACAAAGAGCGGGCGCGAGTCGGGTCGGGACCGCGGCGGGTAATTCCGTACCGCATATATATTTATATGGACGACAACACACCGGGCGGCGGTCGGCGCGGCGTCCCGACTCGCCCCGCATCCGACCCGCACCTGCTTTCTGTGTTTCACGCTTAAATGCGGGCAGTTAAGTTGTACAATACAGTTTTATATTACTATCTATGTTTATAATATCTCTAATATTTCAAGCACTTGAGTCCAACCTCATGAAACAAATTTCAAAAAGAATTATTCTAAATTGGACGTAGTTAAGCAAAAAGGATCCAGCCCAAAAAATTATCAAGAAATGAGTTATATGTACCAAATGGTTCCTAAAGTCACTTAGATCAGCAAAAAAATCCAACATAAATATCTCGTTGTTACATGACATTATAAGTTTTGAAATTAAACAAGAGTGGAAACACTTTTAAATTTCAAACTGCCATATCTCGAAAGTGACTGGTTGTCATTGGATCCTTTTTGTTTAACTACGGCCAATTTGAAGTCAATACGAATCTGAAAAAAAAACAACTGTGACATACAGATACAGTTTCTCCACTCAGGTCCCTGTTGAGAATATGGAGCATTGGAAAGAAGTATATAAGAAACATACCATCCTCAACGACTACAACGTCATCATCGGCCCCAGGCGACTCTGGCGACGGCACCGGTTTGCTTCCACGCGACTGAATCTGTTCCAGCAGCTCTTTTGTTGTTTTCACCTAGAGATTAATATTGTTAAGTTATTACGGTAGAGACATACGACAAAGGAAATGAACGAAAAGCGCGTAGCCCACACGAGTCATAAAATCCAAAATTCGAATTATCTTTATTTTATTGTCATATCAGATTACCCTGAGAAGAATGAGCTAGAAACTAGGGAAATTTCGGGTATCGAAAACTCATTGATCGATCTAAATGTCAAGTAGCGACACCTATTGGCGGTAATCGAAATGAATTCAAATTATGCTAACCTTTTTGGCGCCGGCAGCGGGTATCTTATTAACCAAGGCAGTATAGGGATCGACCGTGTCCCTCCGGCAGCCGTTCCTCCGCCTCTCCGTGTGCGCGGCGCCGTTGCGCGCGACCCACCCCGCGGCCGAGGGGGGCGCGGGGGAGGTGGACAGGGCAGGAGGCAGGGGGGAGGGGGCCAGGGCGGGAGACGGGATCGTCGTCTCCGTGCCTGTGCCTGCACGGCTGTGGCCCCTACAAAATCAAGTTGGTACATTCACATGTACGATTATAGAACTCACAATGGCGGTTATTATTGAAAACTAAAATGTGAAAAACAGAATAAAAATTTCTACACAAGTATACAAGTAAAAGCCAAATTAATGCAGCATTTTTTTTAAATCTGGCCAGTTATGTTACATTTTTATTTGACACCAAATTTGAAATAAAAAATTAGTCGACTTAACGTCATTTCATTCATTTATTTAAATTTTCTAGTAATACAGGTTTGTCGAGAGTCGAGCTCGATCGATTGTATTAAGGCCCATTTAGATGGAGAGAGTTTCTTGTCTCGAAGATACGAGTATCGAAAGAATATAAAAACTTTCCTCGTCTAAATATTCGCGATTATCGACCGTCCACGTGAACGATAATCGCCTCGCCTTTGAATATTGAACGTCTCCGTGTAAACAGAACTTGAAAGCAAAAATCGTATTTTGTGTTTTGATTATCACTGCTTTTCTGAGACAAGAATTAGTGAAATGCGAACGAAAATAAATTTTGGGTCAAGAAAGTATGAAAAAATACATATTTCTATACAGTGCAATGAACTTAATATTGTCAGCAGTTCCAAATTCAATGATTTTTGCGTCATTTTGATATATCCATAGTCAATACCGCAGTAATCACTGAACTCGAATGGCAATTCTCGCACTCAAAACGGTTCGAACCGATTTATACGATTATCGTATGAACTGTAAAGAAATGTCGTACGAGATCGAGTTTTGACAAGTCGAAAACTCTTAAGCAAGAATCTCCTTACAACATATTTCTCTGTATAAACAGTCGAGGAGGCGATTAAGTTGTTTGCGAAACTCGTATGACATCTAAATGTGCCTTTATTGTATAAAATATAACTTAAGTATAAGTATTTTTTATTTATCAGACTTTAATTTAATAAATATTATTCGTAAACCATTACAATTCTTTAATTTTTAGGTTTCTCAACAAAGTTTTACGCCCGGGTTCGGGTCCCGGGCTGAAAAACACTTAACGCTTAATATCATTAAGCTTTAACTGTTCTTCGCGCCTCCTTGTAAAGTTGGCTTCTTTACTTATACCCCTTTTCACTAGAGCCACAGAATTGTCACTTGAAACCCAATCAGAAGACACAAAAAGTTTTAAGTCAACTAACCAACACGCTTGAAACCTAGGCCTTTTCGATCACGGCTAATATCCTAGAGAACTCACCTTCTCTTCTTGGGCTTTTTGTCCCGTTTAGCTTTCTTATCGTCGTGTAGCGCCTCTGGGGATAGCGGCCTCTTCACCGCTGCAATTCAAATTGTAACTTTTATGGTAGGCAATAGGAAATACAGGTTGATCCTGGAAAATATAAATACAAAGGACAATGGCAAACTCCCATTTTTATTGACATAATTTTTAACCGACTTCAAAAAAGGAGGAGGTTCTCAATTCGACTGTATGTTTTTTTTTGTATGTATGTTACGCGATAACTCCATTTGTGAACCGATTTTGATGATTCTTTTTTGTTGGAACGAAGGTACCTCCATAGTGTTCCCATTTAATTTTGAAGAAAATCATCCACCTCTAAGCCCTTAGAGGCTGATCACGCACAAAGATTCATTTTTATAAATAGCGCCTAAATATTATAAGGAGCAATTATTTTAATGGTTGATTTTGCTATTCTACAATTCAAGGCGTTTTTATCTCTCAATATACTTTGAGTAGTGAGAACTGATTTTTATTATCTTCTGTGTCACGTCCCGTATAGTGGCGAACTAGTTGATGAATCCGGGTTTGCGCACTTTCCGGTAACCGATTTCAATAAAACTTGGCAAATAGATGTAATTCCACGTGCTTTTGAGGTCGGTTTTTTTAGTACTCTGTACTGATTATGTGTCTGTTTATGAAAAATATGTGAAAATATAGAGTTGAAATTCCTGAACAAATTTTGTTTTGGGTTTACTATTATGAGAATCAAGAATTAAAGATATTCCAGTTTGAAGTTTTGGAGGTTATGTGTTACGTAGCTATAGTATGCCATTGTTCTTTCTAGAAAAAAAAATGTTTTATCCACACAATTACCTGGTCTCAAATCAAAGTATTCCATGTACTGAGTACCAGAGCAGCTGAATTTGCTACGTGGTAATACCCGGCATACCGGCCACCGGTAATCGAACCTGCGAACCGGTACTTACGAGGTGTGAGTGACTTTTGCTTCTGCACAGCGGCGGCGAGGGCGACAGTAGGAGGTGGCGCGGGAGTAGGCGGCGGTGGGTCGTCGTCCACCAGGATCACGTCCTGCGAGTCCGATTCGTACCCTCCCCATGCTGAGTGAGACAAACACGTGTCATGATTTTTTATATAGTCGTCATTGACTTACAAATAAATAGACGACGGGTCTAATACAAAAACCACGAAAAAAATGTCCCAAGTCAACCTATTTAAACGTAGTGACATGTAAAGGAATGTGAAAAAGCTAAAACGTTGAATTTAAATTGTAATGTCATCGCAGTACTGTCTAATTTTGCTTGCTTCGCTGTCAGTCGAACAAACGAAGACTAAAGCATGAATGATGCTCTGTATACGATTTTAACGCCCTATAAGTTTTTTTTAGCGCGGACCCGACGTCCATATAATTGTAAGTCAATGATAGTCGTATACATTGTGGATAGAATATGCCAAATATTCTAGGAAACATTCTTTTATTTTTAACCGACTTCAAAAAAAAGAGGAGGTTACACGTTCGGACGCCGTCATTTGTGGACCGATTTGGTAAATTATTTTTTGTTTGAAAGGGTGCACTCTCGTGGTGGTCCCATTGTCACCAAGTCAGAATCTGCTTAGGGGATCCCATAGGGATCAAGGGAAATCCTGATTTTATAGGCATGTCCGTGTTTATCGATTTCTCCATCAATAATTTGTGGACCGATTTTGAAAATTCTTTTTGTTTGAAAGGGTATACTCTCGAGGTGGTCCCTGATATTGTTCCGGGTTCGTTTCGGCTATCACAAATTACTAATTAAAATTAAGTAATAGGAAATCGAATTAACCAAATGCGAAAGAATTCAGTATTTTTTTATTGTTATTCACAAGTAAAATAGTGTGACCATTTGTGGCAGATTTCTGCCATTTGGGCAGATTTCATTTTTATTCATTTTCATTGCGGCAAAACATGTTAACGTTTTATTAAATGTGGCAGAGTTTGCCAGATTAGGGAATATTCAATAAGTTCATTATTATTTTTGGGAACAAACTGAAAACTTGTTGTTTTCTGCTACTACGAACAAACATCTGCAGCAACATACAGGACAATGTTATGAACATGAACATAACCTATATCAACTTTACAATCCCAGCTTTTAGTCTGTACTCAATTAACTTTTTTGATGCTACGATAATGGACCATAAGTATTGACAGGTCTGTTGAATGCACGTCGTCAAAAACACTGTGTCACAAAATACATAGGATGTCGCCACCCTTCCTTCACCATTGTACTACGTTACTTAAAAGAATTATCCTTATAATTGACCCTTTCGTTCGGCATCATAAAAATGCAGTGTTTTATAACCGACTTCAAAAAAATATGTTACGTGATTAGTTTAGATTTGTGAACCGATTTCGAAAGGTTGAAGAAAATATTCCACCTCTAAGGGTGGCAAACTAGGGGATGAATTCGGTTTCGCCCAATTTCCGATAACCGATTTCAATAAAGTTTGGCAAATAGATGTAATTCCACGAAATTTGAGATGGTTTTTTTTCATATAAAAATTTATAACGTATATCAGCTACAATAATAGCAAATTGAGCCTTTACCTGGCCTGGACGGCGGTCGAGGACTGGCAATAGCAGGACTTACAACTTGCTGCAAAGAAAAATTTGTTATCAGATGACAATGTACATATATGTGAATTACAGTAAGTAGACGTTATGGCGAACGATTACGGCAGTACCTACAATGTAATAGAGTTCGTCCAGGGAAGTATGCCACATTACCTATTTCTACAACCAAACTGTCATATGTGTATTATTCCGTTCCGGTTTAGAAGGGTAAGTGGAAAATAAAATGGTCATTTCAAGAAGTGGTCAATTCTAGAAGTGGTCACTTCAAGAAATGGTCAATTTGAGAAGTCATCATCCTCCACAGCCCGACTTCACCCACTGCTGGGTATAGACCTTCCGTAGTTTGTGCCTTCCACCAATGTCGATACCTCTTGTGGCTACGATCAGTGCAAATTTCAGAAGTGGTCCTTTTTAATTATGGTCATTTCTCATTGTAGCCCTAAACCGCCGAATAGGTGAAATTACAGGCACATGAGACAGTTGAGGGTGACAGGCGCAGCGGCAGTGCCTCTCAGATGTTTGCAATTGAACCCCCGAGTGGTACTGCTGCTGTTACGGACAGGCGTGTAGCTTATGAAAAAAAAATACTAAGGCAGGAAGCGGACATCTAGTCTGCACAGTTTCGTCGTCGTGTAATTTCTTAGGTCCCAAGATAAGCCCTGAAGCTCTATCAGAAAGATTTTCTTCTTTTTTATTTCTAGCTTTTAGCGGATAGTTTATCATTCAAGGAAAATATTATTAACTTTTATTCCTTAAAGCTGGAGAAACTTTCAAGGAAATGAAGAAACTGTTGTTACCGCAGCTGGCACCACACAAAGTATCTCTACACATAGTGTCTGTACGTGAACAGTTTTTGTTTTAATTTAATTTTTTATGTTTTCTTTATTTTGATTGTGTTTTTGTTTTGTAATTATTTGTTTTGTTTCGTTTTTTTTTCTCTTTTGTGGTGTCATTTGTGGTAAACTGGTCGATTTGAAGTGACACAATTGACGACACCCGTCAATTGTTTCGAACACGGGCTGGCCAATCGGAGTGCAGTTGTCACCGTAATGATTTGGCAGAAGTTTTTAAACAAATTAAATGACATTTCGTCTCTATTTCTGATTATATACTCAATTACTAAAACCCATAACAGCTATTGTATACATAGACATAGTAATATGTTCCAGGTAGTTATTTCATACATACCCTGGAGAGAGCTGGTGAGGTAAGAGGAGTACCACCCAAGCGCCGCACTTGCCGTTCAGCCGATGACCGACTCGAGCCTAAGGAAATGCAACCCTAAATTCACTACATGACGGTATATTACGTATCGAGTTAATTATAATTTCAATTCCAATATTATAGTTTTAATTTCAATATATTTTTAACCAACTTCAAAAGAGGAGGTTCTCAATTCTATTGGTTTTTTTTTGTATGGATGTTACACGATTATTTCAGCATTTTTGCAGCAATTTTGACGATCATTTTTTTTGTTGAAAAGAGGGGTACCTCAGTATTGGTATCATTTAAATTAGACGAAAATATTCCTCATCTAAATCTGGCCACACAGAGGCGGCCACGGAAGCGTTCCGGGCGCGGGAATTATTGTAACGAATGAAGGAACAGAACTTTTGAAGTCGGTTTTTAATTATTTTTTAACCGACTTCAATAAAAGGAGGAGGTTCTCAATTCGCCTGTGCATTTTTTTTATTTTATTTTTTGTATGTATGTTACGCGATAATTTGTGAACCATTTTGATGATACTTTTTTGTTGCATAGATGGTGCCTCCGGCGTGTTTCCATTTAAATTTGAAGAAAATATTACACCTTTAAGGGTGGCAAACTAGGGGATGAATGACTTTTGAGGTCGGTTTTTTTAGTACACTGTACAGAGATTATTATTATGTAATTTATTCAATTCGTCACCTGTGTGTGCTGGCGAGGCCCTGGCCGGTATGACAAGGTCTCGCCACCGCTTGACGAGCACTTTGGCACGCCGCGCGAGTGTGGGGTCTGTGGTCTTGCGTCGGAGTTCGTTCACGTGCTTGCCCAATCGGGTGGTCTGCAAGATAACGAAGATGATATAAATCACATGATGAATATTCCTTAGAAAAGACCCTTGGCTCTGTAGTGTGATATATAATTATGGTTATATCAATATACAAAATGTCTTAAATAACCATAACCTTAAAATATAGAAATTGTTTAATGGTATTTCAGCAATGCATCGTTGGGTAAGTACCGATAAGTCGAATACCTTAACTAATTTTAAATGTTTTTAAAAGAGAATTTTGTGCTCTATCTTGTTCTGTTTAAAACGGATACTTGACCATTGGTCACTTAACCGCGTTTTAGTCAGTGGACGGCAAAATACATACACCGACGTTGTGGAAATAATCCAGCTGAACGATGAAAGACGTTGAATATTTGTCACGACCCATCTAATCATTTTCTATAGCATTCAAAATAAGATGTGACATAATACAATCATCTCTTTCTAACCTTCGAATGTTTGTTTAGCTGATAGAGACCGATTCAAAATATCTTTTTACATAAATAGCATTTATAATCCAAATAAATAAAGTACACTGACCTCCAACAGCTCTTTTGTGATATTGATTTTCTCCAGAACGGATATGATTTCATTGACGGTATGCATGTCGACAACCTGAAAAACGTAATAAATAACTGTTATTAATACTAGGTATAATTTTTTACCAGTATTCACTACGGAGATGTGCACTCTCAAAAAGGTCCACGAGCCCGTTCATCACTAACCGAATACCAAATTAATGCACTTAGAAAACTCACCAGAATATTTCTTCAAACCTTTTTTTTAACCCTATTTTTAATAAGACTGTAGGGCTAGCACGATAGGGCGCGACTAGCGCGAGAGCGACATAAAGTGCGAGATACTGCTATTCTCACATAGAGATGTCCCGCTTTATGTAACACTTGGTTGTCAATGTCGGCTTTGTCATGTCAACCCTGTGGTGGAGTGAATTTACTCTATCGTGTTTACCCCTCGTAGTGAGAGACAAGACCTCACATATGAGTACAGTAACAGTACAGAGTAACACGAGTGGCTATCGATTCTCGGCACCCCATGCACGATCACTTCACAGAGCAACAGACAATGAGGAGCCGGAAAAGTTTCGTCAAACGCGTCCTCATCCTCTGAGCATTGAGCCGGCTCAGGCGAGGTGCGACTTTAGCGCGAAAGAGTACCATCTACCTTTGTCCCGACTTATGAGAGTCCTCCCCCTGGACATGAATTGCCATGGCCGATCTGGACGTCTTTGATTAGGCTTCGAACTGAGGTTGGTCGGAGCAAGGACAACTTGTCCAGGTGGGGTTTTTCGGATGGTTCTAACCTGGACTGCTTGTTAGGTGCGACTCAAACGACGGCCCATCTCATATTGTGCCCTGCGTGCCCTAACACCTGCACAATTGGCTGGTGGCTGCTAGTGACGCGGTCGGCGTGGCTGAATTCTGGACCACTATAGTATAATATATGTCATTGATACGATAAGAAGACTCCCCACGTGCCAAATATCCCCTAATTGAAACTGGCTTCTTATAACCCCATAATGGCACAATCCATCAAATGTAGAACATATTCAAACCTTATTATGCAGAACAATAGAGTGCTTATATAGACGAAAATCGAAATAGTGAAGACAGATATCACGCGAGACGGTGTGGTCTTAAAATTCTGTGGGACAAAAATGACATTCCAGCCAGTAGAAGGACGAATTTCTCCACATCCAGATCTGAAAAAGGATTTTGAGAATCACGACACATGACCTGTTTCTTCTTACGCACAAAACAGTACTCAAAAACCTTACAATTTAAGAATCAGCAGAGCCACGACACTTTAAATTGCACGACTATCTGTCGTCACGACATAATAGCAAGGCGCTCTCACTGCTATGGACAGGCGTGTCGCTTGCCACCAGGCATGTGACTTGTTCGTCCCGTCACTTAAAAAATGCAATTACGAAGGGATTATGTAAGTAAAATCCAAATAAAATTTCGACAGTATGGTACGTGTATGCTAACCATTCAGCAATGCTGTTTTACTATTTTTTTACGGCTCTGCAATCAATCCATTGAGTTATAAATGGAAAAAATAAACTAGCTTCCTACTATTGTGATTTGTGACGTTTGTAAAACATGTTTAGTTGAGATGCGTACGTATGTTTGCTGCTGTACGTGTGAACATTAATCCGTTTGTTTGACAAAATAACCGGCATCTTATTGCATATATCTTCAAGATTTAGATTGCCATGCATTATGTTAAAATCCAGGATATATTCAGGTGGATATTCTCTCCAGCAACTCTGACCATTTTCCAAAATTCTTCTTCAGAAAAAAAAAATACTGTCGTAACTTATAAGTGATGGAATTGAGAAAACACGATATGATAATTTAAAAAAATATTAAATTAATCTTATTGCAAATAATTGGGACTATTTTTTAATTAGTTGCCCACTTACAAACGAGAATTTAAATATATTAGTTCCAATCAGTTAATTTTTTAACTTTCAAATCGTGTTGTCTCAATTCCATCATTGTTGAGTTAGAACAGTATTTCGTTGCACGTGCGACCTATGTCCCTATCGCTAGCGAGACTAAACAGTTGGGCACCATCTTTCCTTCTACCAGCGACATTTGTCATCATTATAAATGGCAGGAGATTGTATCTGTCATGTCCAAGCATAATTCCAATGGTAACTAAGTATTTTTAGTTCAATTTACAGTTTGTCCTTTCATTAAAGTATTTATTGTCGCCGTATTTACATGATTTTAGCAAAATGCAAAAAGCTTCGACAAATAAGACTAGATTCAACGCATCAATATGGACTGATAACGGACAGCTCCATGTGTAAAAGGGACAGCCACACAAGTTTTATTAAAGTGTTCCTACATGTCAACTCTGCCATTATAAACAACGCATTTGTATTACGGTAACTTTCGACATATTAGCACCTGAAGTTTTTTTTCTTTGAAAAAGTCAATAAAACTGAAACTAAATAAGATATACAAAAACCGCTTAAGGGGGTTGTAGATCCAGTTTCCTTGATGCCAGATATGAAAATAACTCAATTTCGCCAAAAATTCGGTTACGATGCTTATGATTTGCAGAACTATAGGAATAACACAGAGTACCAAGGCCCTGAGTATCTCTACCATACGCTTTACAATACCATATCAGTGTAAACTGTAACAAATTTATTTAGTAGTAAATTATAAACAATATATAGAATTATAAATACAGTTGATAAGCCACATTGAAATAATAATCAAAATTCTTGATAAATATGTGCAGTTGGCAGGACAGAGTATTTTTAAACGACTTTTATATCATACGGAAGTAGATTTACAATTGAATATGCAAAAGAAATTCTAAATATTTGTAACAACTGTGTGATTAGTCTCATTTTATGTGACAAGTGGGGTCAAGTTTTAGTGGTAAGGCACTGGCCACAAAGAGAACATAAAAACTGTAGAATCCAGGAAAGTCCTTCAGTACTTTAATGCTGTTGGCTTTGGCTCTGAACTGTAATTAGTAATGATCACAATCAGTTGATGGACTCATGATGAGGGGTTGTATAGGCCCTGAATGAAACCAGCCTAATAATAATTGTATTGTTCACCAGTTACAGCTGTTGCTGTAGTTTCTCTTCTCAGAGAATTTTTTTGGAATTTACCAGTAAATCTTTGAGTTAAAAACGCGTGCGTTCCTCAACTTGGCATTGGCGAGTTTGCCGATATGGTAGCATAAAGTAGAAGTCATATTTTTACAAAACTACTGCACATAGACATTTTTACTTGACATTGGCGAAATCATAATTTCTATTCCATTCTATTTCCTTAATGGCGGCCACTAGTTTCGATGGTGCCATAGCTTTTAAACGAAGAAGAAGAAGTTCAGCGGTTATTGAAACTGTTGCCCTGACTCTGGTCGACTGTGTCATTGCCTGGGAATGCTGCCCCATTTAAAAATTCTAAAGTAATCTTTTTAAAATAGATAATAATTGACATAAGACTTGTTTTCTACCACCTCTATGTCATCTTTCTCGCATCTCCTGTATTAACAAAAAACGAAGCAGTTTTTAATCGACTTTTAAAAAGAAGGTTTTCAAATTTATGTTGGCTACAATGCATTGATCGTTGATGCTGTCCAGCAGGTGCTACCGCATTTGTTTAAAAAAAAAGAAACCGAATTATCTATGCATAAACTACACTACATATACATTTTCTTGATTTTTTTATTATGTTAATATAAAAAATACGTGTTATCAATAAGTTTGGAAACTTATGTTGTACATGAAGGAGTTAATTTAGAAGAACAATTTGTGTTTACAAAGTAGAGAACTAATTTTGTTTCACAATGTAGGTGGCCAGAACAATGGCAACACAATATTGTCAAGTTGACATAACCAAAGGAAAAGGGACCTAAAGTGCATGTGAAAAAGTTGTCAATTAGCTACAGGACAGTAAATCCAAAAAGCCGCAGTCATCAGAAACATAATCACACAAAAGCTTATCTGTTCCATGAAATCACTTTATCGTGGACAATTCATAAACAACAGTGCATTTAGAAATGCAAGGAAATATTTTACTATAGAATGATATCTTTGCTATAAATATTATTTGAAACATATTCCATAACTAAAATTTTTTTATTTTATTTAATAAAATGCATATTGTAGAGTGTTGCTGCTTTTCCTTTTTCAATTTTATATTTACACTCCATATTAATTTATTGAATTTTGAAAGGATGTAGAATGACTAACTTAGCTTTGCACAGACACATCTTGCATATATATTACATAATATACACATCAGATGCTATTTAGAAAAAAATTACAGATGGCATACAACCTTTATCTATTGTTTTGACAACTTAGAAAGCCTATAAACGGTATTAAAAAAATTGAAAGTTTACCACCTTCAGTCACATCAGGAGAATTTTTAGATTTACACGTACTACTCAGAGTACAAATGTAGGCAGAAGGTTAACTGCTATAATCCACAAAATAGTCGTTTCATTAAGCTTTCTATGATATTAGTAATTTGATGATGACTTCAAACAAAGGAGGCTTCCCAATTTGACTGTATTTCTTTGTGTATTTACGCCATCACTCCCACATTTGTGTACCGACTTGATTTTTTTTGTTGGAAAGAGGGTACCTCTTTAGTGGTCCCATTCAAATTTGAACAAAATATTCCACCTGTAAGGGTGGAATATTTACTACTAGGTACTTACATTACATTAGGGGACGAATATGGCTCATTAGATTTCACTCACTTCCTGTTAACCAATTTCAATAAAACTTGGCAAATAGATGTAATTTCCTCAAAGTTTTGAGGTTGACTTTTTAAAAAAAAGTTATAATTATTTAAATGGAGTCAACTACTTTGCCGAAAATGCCTCGTCTTGGAGAACACTTACACCTGGTAATGGCAAGCAACTTATAGTTTAGAATATTACATAAGTATGTCTGATTTTACTATTTTGCATTAAGGTACCAGTAAACATAAGGGTGTAAGACATCAGTGGCTTGAAAACTTCAAAATAACTAAGCACTTCTTGCTTGTGGAAACATCTATTCACAACCATGCTTGTCTTTATTATTTGTCACACAGTAAAAGTTACTTCCTATATGGTATCATTAACCATATACAAGATAAGTAATGTTTTTATTGCTATAGGTTATGATTACAATATAACCCACAAGTTCGCATTTGCAATATTGGGTTTCACATGTTGAGAAATAACCTGTTGTTTCATGGTTCTTTTATGTTCAGATTTAAGAAAATGATTTTGCCGTTTTTTATTAATTAGTATGTTATTTTAATTTACTTTTGAAGCCTATATATATACTACAGCAAACGTTTATGTTTGATATGATTGTGTGGTCCATATAGAATAACAACATCTCTGAACTCTATTCTGCTAGACACAGTTACCAAGCTAGTCAAAATGAATTGGTGATGGTGTATAGAAGAATTAATTGGAATAAAAGTAAGTAAAAGAAGTGCCTCAAGTTTGTAACTGAAAACCCATCTCAGATTACTTCACTATAAAAGTAAAAACTTTTAGCGTCATTATAGAGTACTTAACAGGATTGAATTATTACAAAGAAAAACAAAATGCAAAAACCACAGGGAGAAAGTGCAGATTACTGAAATGCCAAAAAAGCGTTGAGATTGCTACAATCCCGGAACAGATTGATACAGAAATAAGTCACTCATTTTCAGTAGTGATTTTTTACCTTTCCAATGACACTAGAATTTGTGAAATTTTATCTTGCTTGCTTAATCAGACCTTTCTAAGACATCAGGCTTTCTGAACTGATGTTTTACATTAGTGAATATTTGGGCATGCCCTGTGACAGATATTTGTAGGATCAAACACTTTTCTCTTGTTTTCGAGTCGTCTTTCTCATCAAGTCTTTAGTATATTTGAACAGGGTCATTATTATTGTTATGGCTTCTCAAGGATTTTGCTGCCCATTTCATTGCAACTGCTAATTGACCTATCACGACCAGCAATAGTTTTTTTTCATCTTGTTTTTAATAAGTCCTGTAACACCCAAGTGTCAATATGAACTGCCTCTGTGGCCAAATGCAAGAAGTCCCGGGTTCGATTCCCATGTCTGGAGAAACATCTGTGTGGCCTAATATTTATTTCTCTCGTGAGTTTGGGTGTCATTTTTAATTGGACATGTGTGTCCATGCCTCCCATGATACTGGTTTCCTTAGAACAGGGCTACGAGTGTAAGCGCATTAAAAATAAAATATATCAGTCTTGTGATGTCGGCCCGTGTGGATTATTCTACTCTATCATGTCGCCTCATAGTGAGAGGCAAGATCTCACATATGAGTACAGAGTTTTAGCCTTCTACACCAACAGGTCATCCATCACAATATTTAACTCGCTAGCCTGTCATATATATGCTAATTGAAATCCAATGGGCTTCTTATAGCCACATAATGGTCACACTCCACTAAAAGTAGCATATCTTCGAGTTTGTTTTTATTAGGTGATAGAACTTATTAAAAAGTGGCAAGCACAAAGTCTAAAAGCTAAGACCAACGTATTTCTAGAAAATGTGCTGTCCTTAGACTAGGGCTTTCGGGGTAGACACTTTTCGAACAGTTTTATACCAAATTACTTTTTTTTGGGTATCTATTTTCCACTCTAATCTCTCCTATTTTCCATGATTATTATTGTTGGTCTAAAGAGTGTGGTCACAAGGCCAACAGCATTAAAGACCTGAAGGATTGTCCTGTCTTTGACAGTTTTTGCGTCCTCTGGTTGTGGCATGTGCCTATGCAATAGTTTCATACGCCTCTCTTATATGTACAGACTGTAGATAGGGAAGTACATTTGTAACTCTGTTACATAGACTTCTGTAGCTCAAGTTTGTAGATATACCCATTTTAAGCCAAAATAAGTAGATAATCATGATTTGTTACCTTTTAAATAAAAAAGATTACTGACAAATGAATAATAGTTACCTTGAGAAACTGATATGCAGATATCATTTAATATGTTTTGGGGCATACAACAAATATAATTAGATGCACTAGAGTAACAATGTAATAGTAAATAGAAGTGTTTGTCTTTGGCTCATTATATGTAGGCCTACAAGGAGTCAATGTATTGTATAATCAAAATATTGTATAAAGTTTACTGTTTCCATAATCTTGGGCAATGCTTCAGTATTGCGAAAATGTGAAACCAGATATCGTGGTGTTGTGCAATTCAAATTTGGTAGTGTAGTCCAGACCTATACTAAAAACAGTTGTAGATTTCATAAGGTTTATATGTCACACGATGCACAAGAGTAAATACAAAATACTTACATCGCATCAGCCAAAAAAAAACCAAGACTCCAACAGCGCAACATAGCGACAAACCAGACGAAAATCGACGGGAGAGGTCACGCGTGGCACTATTCCGTACTTTCACATTGCAAAATATTTGGCACTACGACACATTAGGGGCGGAGGGAGCGCGCGACGTCAGTGGCCTGGCCCCCTGCGCACCGAGCACACCTCACCTCATACGCACTCATGGCCTGCGCCCACACCGACACATCCGCCAGCCCCCACGGGCCGACGCCATGGCTTCCAAGCACGAGCATCTGCACATCTACAATACCAGACTCGACTTCCCAAGAGGCCAAATCGCAATCGAAACGGGTGTCACGGGCTCGTGGACCGTTCTCATATCTCCCGACTCCAATTTCTTTCTTCCCGTCTTCGAAACTCGAAAACTTACATTGTAATTGTTATCCAACGCATTCAGAAGTCGATTACTTAGATCATGAGCGTTATTACTCATTTATAAACGAAAATATTTAACTAAATACGACGAACGTGTCTCGGCTGCGTCGTAATGGCGGACCGACGACTACGTATGCCCGTGCCAGGGCATTTTAGCCGAATAATTCAGCTGATATCTACCGAGGGCGACGCACACTCGTGTTTTTCCGTTTCTTTTGACGGCGGAACTTTATTTTTACATTTCATCTCACTAGATGGCGACAGTAATTAATGAAATATAAACTCAGTTACGTTTTAATACACTGAAAAGTTAAAAAGTCATATATAATAATTATAGTTTAATCAATAGTAATGACTAAACTAGCAAATTAGAATACTATTAGGCTAAAACCAACACCTACAATTAGACGCGCTGGCAATTAAATTAAAATAATATTTTGTAGAGGCAATACTTTTTACTAAATAGTTAGTCCTCATCACCAAAAGATGGAGCTGTAAATAATGCTAAATAGAGATGGCATTATATTTTCATCTCGCTCTTTGTAGTTAATATTACCAGTAGACAAAAAATATTAAATTGTAGGGTAATTTGTATCTTATAATTTGAAGGGCCTACAACTTTTATCCAGTTTGTGTTAACGATTATGTTTAGGATTTTAGGTAGCGATTTCGCAATGTATATATTTATTACAATCAACCAAAAGACATCCACTGCTCGGTTCTCCTCTAGGGAGAGGGTTTGACCCACTAGTCCGTCACATTAGCCCAATGCGGGCAGGGGACTTAACACCTTTTTCGATATTCCTTCATCATTAGGATGCTACCAGATGCTGCAAGCGCGAAGTCGATATATACCAGTCCATGCAATCGAAAACGACTGCAAGCAGTCAACAATGACTGCAAGCCGTTTTGTGTATTTATTAATATCTAATATCGAAGCTCAGATGTTACTCGTAGCTTGTTACCGTATTCAGAACATTTATGATTCAAAATGCTGATCCTTACTTTTATTAGGGAAACAAACATGTCAATATCGAAATCACTATTTTAGATTGTAACTGATATCCTTGATTCGTTCCGAATTTGCGATCGAAAATATAAACATGGGTGCAATTATAAAAGAATATATTTATTTAAAGAATTGTGCAAATGTGAAATAACATCTGTCGAGAAAAGTTTCACCAACTGCGTTTTTATTAATTAAAATCACACGTAACCAAGTAATCGTTAACTTTTGCTGTTACTGAAAAAATCGAGTTGACTCATGTCAATTGTTGCTTTTGATTCTTGGACAAACGTTCACATCAACTGCAGCTTACACTTAAAATTGACTGCATGCAGTTGAAGTAACGACTGCACGCAGTAAGTCCAGTTATTAGTTAAAGTCATAGTTATAGGTGAAGCGTACGTCAAACTTGACGTTTAATATCTAAATTAAAATCCATGTAGCTTGTAATAAGAACGGTCCAAAGTATAAAACTTGACTGTCGTAACCGCAGCGGCGCAAATCAGTGTATCATGAAACAAATGCGTATATGAAAAAGTCTCTTGCATTTTCTGTAGATGTTGGTATTCTTGATGCGAGATATCGTAATACAGTAAGTCCCTCGGCATGCCACTTATGACTGTACGTAGCAAGGCTATAGGTACATTAAAAATAACAAACAACTAGTGTCGTTCGTAATAATTGTTGTCGCACGTTCCTTATTTTACTTTTAATAAACATAACTGGAAATGTAATAATACATAGTTGTGGCTACAGCGTATTTTAGTGTTCATTTCATTGCATTGCAATAATACGCCACATGAAACTTTATGGTGGCACTTCACATGGCTATTTTTATTCGCTATTGGGTGTTCGATGTACTTGTAAAAATATTTGACGTACAGACAAACATGCAAACACTGACAAATATAACCGTCTTTACATGCAGCCAAATAAGGAGTTAAAATAATAAATGTAACCATAGTGTGGACGGTTTACTTGACGGCATTTGCCTATTTGGCTCCTTTGATGTGCGTCGACAAGCGCGCGGTAGTGCGAGTTTGGTGCTTGCTCTATTTGTCGAATAGGCAGACAAGGCAAAGACTATGTCACACATGCTATCTACACATTGTGATAGTTTGGCAAATTTATCAAAAATGCAAATACAAATAACCATGTGAATTGTCACCATTAAAGGTGCTTTCTAATAATGTGTATGCAAAATGATTATTTAATTAATATTACGAAATTTTTAAATTTTCTGTCGACACGAATGATTTTATATTTAAGCGGTTGGTTCACTGGTTTACTTTCATTTCCGTTAAGGCCTTTCACCGTTTATGAAGATTCTTATTTATATTTTCTTTTTATTTGTATTGTATTATTTATAGTATTCCGTTGATTGTCCATGCCATCTACTCTCGACAACCTGGTTCAACGGTTTATACCTTGGTTTATATGTACTAGACTTGAAGGCCCTGATTACTATTCTCAGTAGGACCGATTTGGGAAATCATCTTTTCTAAATTGCTCCTTTTCTGGTTGTTCTAGGAAGTGCAGGGTACTCTCTAGTTTGAGACCAAGCAATAGATGTGGTTGTCATATACACTATTATTATTATTATGTGATTGATATGCAGGCGGGTAGATATCCGTCTGAAGCAATTTTGCACAACAGAATATTTTGTTCTCATTTTATCACTTTTATAGAGGGCGCTGCAGTTTTATGACATTTTCTAAGGAAATTCAATATAAGAAAATAACAACACCAAAGGAAGAGTTTTGGGTAAAAATAAAGAATTGGCAACTTCGTACCACATGAATTTTTCCGGATTTTTTCCCAAAGCATAGCAACACCGGGTTTCAAAAAATGACATTTTTTCGATTGGTGTGTGAGTGGAGCGATGTCTCTCGTTAAATAATAATGGATATAGAGCACGAAAATACTCTCATCTGATAGTGATTTCATCTGTAAAGTCGGGCAAATAAATTAACTGATTACATTCGGCAGACTGTCGATACAGTGCAGTTTATAGTGAGTTGTTGACAGAATTGAAGGCGAAAGGTGTTAAATGGCGAAAATACTGTATTTGTGTATTGTATCGTAGCCGTAAGAAATGGATCGTCGCTGTTCTCAGTCGGTTCGGACGCTTAATTTCGACGATTCGGACAGTGATTTGTCCAAAAATGGGCAGAGGAAGGACTTGTCTACGTCTGAGGCCCCGTCTTCTTTGAATCAGAGCGCCGACGGTAAGTGAAAACTTTGTTTATAAATCATTCACTATTTTGTTATGGTAGGCGATGTTTTCAAGGTTTATCTATGCTGTCAATGTACATAAGATTACGAAGGCGTCAATGAGCGGTCTCGGCCTATTGGCCAAGTGCAGGTGTGCCAAATATAGGCCGGTAAACTCGCGGCAATCATACTTAATTGATCTCACCTACTTCTGAAACTAGAGCGGCATAAAAAATCATATGAAAGCAAAACAGCAGAGCCATGTGGCAATTTTTATATTCACACGAGTGTACATCTTTGTTTTGCTTGCGATAATTATTTCAAAACATTGTTAGACAGTTGAAAAGTGTCCAAATGTTATTTCTTATAAGATTAAAATCGTATGGTGATAGAGTACACTATAGAAGAATAACTGAAAATGAAATACTTTTAAGCAAAACAGCTGATTGTTATACTCTACGAACATGCATATTTTCTTGGGATACCTGAGCCTAACTACTTAAATGCTTGGAGCCAAGGTACTCTATGTCCTATAGTAGTGTTTATCACAGTTTTCTGCCTTACACCAAGTATAAAAACTGTATCCAAATCTGCAAAATGAAAAGTCACTGGACATTGGTGGTGATCATCATATTTTCTATATTGTATATTTTTTACATTATGTCTAAGCAGAAAACTTGATGCTGGCAAAATTCTAAAAGGCCAATATCTAAAAACAAGAAAAATAATCAAAGTATTAATTTTTCATCACTCTTCAATAATAAGATTTAGGTTGATATTCAAAATTTGCTTTTTACTAGACTTGCGTAGTTCATGAACTGCAAACTATTAGGAATATATCCATACACTGACTGACATGAACTAGTTCGTCTTGCATGGTTTTAATAGTTCATTGATCTTTTTAGTTCAGTACGAACTTGGAACTGCCTGCAATAATAGTTCACCTGTCTTTTATACAGTAGGAATGGTGCGAGTGGGACAAATAGCGGTCTTTCACTACTTATAGTGCAAGTTCGAGTGGGATGCACGATTGAATGTTCCCAGCTCATTCTTAAGTCTCTAATATGTATCTACATTATATAGATATGTATTAGAGGCAAGCTTGCAAAAAAGTGATATTTTTTGGTAGGTAACTGTATGATAATAATAATATCAACCTATGTGTACGAGTCATTAACTTACAATTATATGGACGTCGGGTCCGCGCTAAAAAGTGTCCGCACTTGTAAGGCGCTAAAATCGTATACAGAGCGCGACACTCCGCTTTAGTCTTCATTTGTTCTACTGACAGCGCGATACTGCGATGACATTACAATTTAAATTTCGAATAGGTTGCCTTGGGACATTTTTTTCGTGGTTTTTGTATTAGACCCGTCGTCCATTTATTTGTAAGTCAATGGTACGAGTATATGAAATAGTTGTACCTAAATATTGATTTTTAAACACACCTTTTGAACTAAAATTCTTATTTTGTAAAAAAAAAGGATATTTAGTTAGTATGACAGTCTTTAAACTTGTAAAATATGAAGGAAAATGAAATAGTACCGATTCCATACAAATTGTATTTTTAAATATTTAGTACAGTGTAGTATTGACCTCATAATACT